AGTCACGGGAGGCTCCCTGGAGGAGGTGACGTTAAAAGTCGAATCTAAAAATAAGCAGTGGGCCAGACGCCATGGCTCACACCCGTAATCCCAGCACTTTAGGAGGCTGAGGCGGGTGGATCACCTGAGGTCAGGGGTTCAAGACAAGCCCGGCCAACAGGATGAAATCCTGTCTCTACTGAAAATACAAAAATTAGCCGGGCATGGTGGCAGGCTCAGTAAATATTAGCTGAATGAATGCATGAATCAGCCAGCCTAAATTCATGTCATTGTGCCTCGGGAGGCTGAGGCAAAAGAATGGGTGGAACCGAGGAGGCAGAGGTTGCAGTGAGCCGAGACTGCACCACTGCACTCCAGCCTGGGTGACAGAGCGAGGCTCCATCTCAAAAAAAAAAAAAAAAAATGGCAATAGGTGTTTCCCTGTTACCCTTTCCAGGAAAGTGGCCCCTCAGCTGAGCAGAGTTCTGACACTGCTCCCCTCCCCAGGATGGCCCTGCCCGTCCCTTGACACTGCCTTGGGAGTCAGTCACCAGGTCAGTCTGTCCCCAAGACTGTCAGGTCCACTAGGGTAGGCACGGGTGTCCCTGTCCGTGGCTACATTCTGAATGCCAGCACAGTGCCTCATGCACAGCAGGTGGTTAGTAAATGCCTGCTGATTGGCTCAGGAAAGGAGGGAATGGAGAGTGGGTGTGGGGGAAGGCTGTCTGTGGGGAGTGAGCCTTTGGAGACTGAGATTTAGATTTGATGGTGTCAGATATCTCAGTGGCTGCAGAAGATTTCAAACATTAGCTGGGTGTGGTGTGTACTTGTGGTCCCAGCTGCTCAGGAGGCTCAGGTGGGAGGATCGCGTGAGCCCAGGAGGTCAAGGCTGCAGTGAGCCATGTTTGTGCCACTGAACTCCAGCCTGGGTGACAGAACAAGACTCTGTCTAAAAAATATAAGTTTCCGTGGGTGCCCCATTCGTTGCCCTTGGGGGAGTTCATGCCCCTCACCCTCCATGGTGCTGTTCAGGCCACTTCTCCAAGTTCATCTTCTGTCCTCTAGCAAGCAGTGCTTCTTAACCTACCTTCCTTCCTCCCTTCCTCAAGACAGAGTCTGGCTCTGTTGCCTAGGCTGAAGTGCAGTGGTGCGAGCATAGCTCATTGCAGCCTCCAACTGGAGCTCAAACGATCCTCCCGCCTCATCCTCCTGAGTACCTGAGATTTCAGGTGTGCCACTGCACCCGGGTTGCTGAAGCTGCTTAACCCTTTCCTTTTGGGCCTTCTCTTCTTTGCCTGGAAACCCTTCCCTATTTCCAAACGCTGCTCAGAAACCACCATCCTGTGAAGCTTCCACTCTCAGGCAGCGTTAGTGCCTCTGTCCTCCGTCCCCAGGTGGCTGGTAAACGAGAACACTGCCTCGTGCGTTCACACGTCCTCACCCCAGACAGATCGAGAACCTGCGAACGGCAAGGGCCCCGTCTCCCAGCCTTGTATGTGTGTCATGCCAGGCCTCTTCTGGGTATGAATGAATGAACAGACAGATGGACAGACAAGATCAGGAGCTAAAGCGGGGAAGTACGTGTGGTCGTCAGAGGCGCTAAACCTTGGTGGGGTGGTGGCTTTGGGAAAGGAAAAGAAGGAAGCACCGAAGGACTCGGTCAAAGGGATGTGGGGGTTGAGGGAAGGAAGACTCGCAAGTTGGCGGCCGCCCTAACAGAAGTGGAAACCCAGAAGGGGAAGCTGTTTCAGGAGGAGGAAGGGTCGTTTGGTTGGGACGTGTGGAGTGGAAGGGCTGTTGCTGGGGCTTCCAAGTGAGGAGACCCAGTGGCCAGGGCAGGTGCTAGACCGAGAGCCCAGCAAGACACAGGGGCTGGAGCTGGCAGCGGGCTGCCATTGGCCTGGAAGGGAGAAGGCATGCATCCTTGGGGGAAGGGAGCAGAGGGCTGCGGCTGGGCCCAAGCAGGAGAGTCCACATGTAGAGGCGGCGGGAGAACGAAGGGTCAGCCTACACCAGAGAGTGGTCGGGGCAACACCTGCATCAACAGGGCAGCTGAGGGCTTGGAGAAACTCTGAACTGCAGAGGCCAGGGAGTTGGAGAGGGAGGCGTCTGGCTTTGGGATAAACTGTTTTGGGGGCCTTTGAAGCAGCCTGCTTCTCTGGAGAACATTAGGAGCCAGGCTGAGGCAGACGGAGTGTGGACTTCAGGTCCAGGGCTGGCTCGGGGCGTTTGTAAGGGAAGGGGAGGGAACGCGGTGAGTCACTTCCCCTCCAGGGGGGCACCAAGGCCTGTGAGCGGAGTCTGTGTCTGATGGAGGGGCGCTGTAGTTACTCACTGGACTTTCCAGCCACCGGGGACAGGGTGGAGTAGAGAGGCCCTGGATACTCAGGGAGCCACTTGTGTGGGGTTCAGGGATTTCGGGAAGAAGTGGGCGTCAGTCTCACCATGCCGCGTGGAGGCATGGGGAACGGGGATGGGGATATCCTGGCGGACTTCCAGGGGCACCTCATGGCCTCTTGGGTGGAGGAAGGAACACAGCAGGGGCCTGTGGGGTTCTAGGCCCCTTCTTCGTGTCGCCTGCAGGTCTGACCCGTGTGGGCAGCCCATGCCATGCACTTGGAGCCCGCCGGGCGGGAGACAGAAGAACCTGTGGCACCAGGCCCTGAGCTGGCATACTTGTGCCCTGGGGAATGCCAGGCCTGGTCGTTCCCAAGCCCTGGCCCCAGCCTCACCCGCCCAAACCAAATGAGGAATTGTGGCTGAAAGGGCTGTTCAGATGCGCCCTGGCTATTTATAACCCAGCCAGGCAGGGACAGGGGAAAACCAGGGGCTGGAAGGAGATGGGTGGGGTGGGGTGGGGTGGGGGTGTGCCTCTGCTGAATCCTGGTGGCAGTTCTCTGACCAAAGGCTGTTAGCCCTGGGGTCCCCCAAGGGCTTACCCCCAATCCCTCGCTCTGTATTTTAGCTCTGGAAACAGGATGGAGCCTCTCTCCAGAGAGGGCAGCTTCTCTGCTGCTAATGGAATTGCACAAGCCCCACCTAGAGCCCAGATCTTCTGAAGAATTCTGGGGGGAGTGGAGGACTGTGGGCCGAACTCGGGCCACAGGTGTGGTTCATTTAGACGTCACCATGTTGTTTTAACATGTAAATTATTTGTCATCGTTTTAAAATCGGGAGCGTTCCTGTTATTAAGCCAGAGTTTAGCTTGTTTTGAACAGAGATCAGGCAGCCGTGAGCCTGCGTTTCCTCCAGCAGCCATCAGCTAGAGTGAATGGTGGTTTCATCCAGCCCTACCTGGCTCGCTTCAGCGGCTGGCCTCACCCGCACCCTCATGGGTGCTGTTTGCAACCTTTGCTCCATTGTTGGGTTGTAAAAGAGCTTTTCCCAGGGCCTCCCCTGGACTCCTCCCCGCATGGAAGGAGATGTATGCGCATCCAGGCACTAGGGCCGGGACCAAATGTGGCCTCACTCCCTGCACAGTTGGGGGTTCTGCAACCATTGGAGAAGCCAGGGGAAGCTGGCTGGGAGTGGGCAGGGCCAACAATGGTGCCTGTCCTGGGTTGTGTGTGCCTTCCCCTTGCAGGCTGGCTCCCTGGGGTGGGGGAGCTGGGGGTGCTGGTCTCAGCAGTGCCTGGGAGTCAGGGGGAGCTGCTCAGAGGAGGTTGGGGTCCTGGTCTCTGCAGTGCCTGTGAGTGGGGGCTGCTAGGAGGAGGCGGGGGTCCTGGTCTGAGCAGCGTGAGTAGGGGGGTTGGTCTGTGAGTGGGGGGTACTCGGAGGAGGTGGGGGTCCTGGTCTCTGCAGTGCCTGTGAG